TTTATGTATGTCAAAAATAGATTGATGCACACACACACTAAATTAGATATTAATTCTAGAAATTAACAAAGGGACAAAAATCTGACACATGGGAAAGAAGAATAAGATGCTTAAACCCTATTTGTAAAAGTTAGGTTGAATTACTATTGAAGAGTCCGTTGAAGTTTTGTAGCTGAAAGCTTGGTCCCCAGTGCAATCATTGCCAATTTAATCATGAGGACACAGTTTTGACAAAAAGGAAAAAGAAGTTTTATTGCTGTGCTAGCAAAGGAGAAACACAGGGCACTTCTGCCCCAAAGGCTGTGACTCTCCAGATCAGGAGGGACAAGGGGGTTTTAAAGGATGTCAGGTGTGCTCTGGTAGGGGATCCCAGGGTGCCCATATGGCTGTCAGGATTCGCTTGTTAATTTGGGAGATATTCACTTCCCAGATCCTCAGCAGACACCTCCTTCCAATAGTGGGTGTGTTCAAGGGCATTTAACTATGGGAAGAGAAGATAACACTGTCTTCCTGATCTTGTTAGGGAGGGGGAGAAGGGAGAAGAGAGGAAAATAATAAATAAATAGATAGATAGATAAAACATAGAGCAACGAGGGCTATATTCAGAAGGTGAAGGGACCACTGTTACAGTTTTACATAAATTGCTGTAAGAAATGGTATAACATGGGCCATAAATATTTTGACATTAATTATTTGGTAAGAGGAGAAGTGAGGATGATATTTCTTTTTTCTTTTTTTTTCCCCACTAATAATCTCCAAATAACTTTCTCATCTCATTTTGTCCAAATAACCTTCTTACCTTTCACTTTGACATTGCTATGATTTAAATACAAGACTTTCTAAGACTCCAAAGAGGAGGGATTCTCAAATGCATTGCAATACAATCAAACTGGTTAAATGGAAGCATGTGGAATCAGCTTAGGCCTGAATTATTCAGCTCAAGGGCAGGCTTGGTTTGTTTGAATAAAATGAGATATAATGTGATTATTAGATTCAGACTTGTGCCCCTTAATAAGACTGGATTAAAACCAATAATGGATAAACAGCATAAATAAACTATAGGGAAGCGTTTGCCTCTAGAACTGTAATAGTGGTTAGACAGTGGCAGTTCATAGGCAAAGTATAGTTCCCAAACTTTAGTGTTTACCAGGATCACTTGCAGAGTTTATTAAAACACATTCAGGGCCTAAAACACAGAAAGTCTAATACTTGGTCTGTTGCTGCTACGGACCCACTCGCCATAGTTGGAGTATCTCTGGTCTGGCATGCATACCCATTTTCACCAGAATATTAATTGGTCCACGTCCTGGCATCACTACTGAGTAAAAAGCCATCAGGTGTGCGCTCCTGAAGGGAGAGAAGCTGCCCAATGTTTTCTTTGATTTGCATGGTCTTATATTTCAGTTGGGAAACTGATGAACTTTCAAAGACTTTAAGTTGCTTTCAAATATTGGCAAAAGGTTAACAGCACACATGCTTTTCCACCCTTAGGTCAGGTATATTAATTCACACAGGAAGATCTTTGGAAACTTTACCCAAATTACTGTTGGATTGTTGATTTCAGAACTAGGGTGACTAGATCTACCCTTTGTCTATGGAGTGGGAGCAGCTTTGTTTTTTCAGAAGCGGTGACTCAAATGGACCCAATGTTCCCATTATCTGCCTGGTTACTGCGCTTTTTTAGTGATATTACAGCGTGCTACAATATTTTTCTTTGCAGCTTAAACATTGAGCAAACCCAGACATCCGGAGATGCTAAAATGAAAAATCTGTTTCCTCTTGTTTTCCCATTTGCCAAGTGAACTCTGTCAGACAGCACATTCTATACGTTTCAAGTAAACGAAATTACCCTTAATGTGTTGGCAACATCTGTCACAAAACACTCTTCCGTCTATGGCTTAAATGCATTGAGTGGGAATAGAGTTGACAGTGTATTTAATAAGCTGCAATTATGGTTGAGGGCACTCGTTTTTACCTTAACCACCATAAGGTTTTTCCTCTTTCTTTTATGCCTTCCTTTTCTCTGTTTCTTCTTTTTATTTGTTTTTAGTCTATGCTATACAAAAGAGATTCTGCTGTCTTTGATAAGCAAAGAACTGACAAGGACCTTTCTTTTGTTGTAGATAGTCAACACTTAAAACTCTTTAAATGGTCCCTGACAAAGTATCATCCAAAACAAAGTTTTTTTGTTTTTTTTTTTTTCAATTATATCCAGCTAATTCACTAATTGTAAATTTCTCCCATTCCCTTGAGATTAAAGAATTAATGTTCTTTATATGGGAATTCTTTATCCACTGAATATTTGTATTGAACGTGAACAAGAATGTATATTCTTACATATGCTCACCTACACATTCTTTTATTATTGTTCATTTACAATAACTGATCTATTTAAGAAAGGAATTTTTCCCTTACATTATTTTTCCATTCTGTGCCTCATGCTGCTATTTACAATTTCAAATTATGACAAATCCCTTCCCACTCTTCCTTTTGATTGTCAGGTTCCTGGTTGATACACAGAAGCAGCACACTGGCGTCTGTAATCAAATGAGTCCCTATTCACTATTTTCTAAGAGACCAGACAGTCCTTCCTAAATTAATTCCAAGTGCAGGCATTCAATCCTTTTATTCTTATCAGGCATAAATTTTGATTCATCTCTGGCAGGCTGCACTGCCCTACCTCTTTTGCATGCAGCCTCCCAAACAAAGAAGAAAGTCTACCTCACATGCCCTTGGGGAATCCTGTGGGGGAAAGGGCGACCTTTGGGGCCCAGAGAAGAAAGTATCCTCACAAACACAATTTGGTCTTTATCTCTGATTTACATAAATGATCCTTGATTGAGGGGCATCTGGAATTGTGGTAGCTAAGCTCTGTTGGAATGTCTAGGGGCAGATATTCTAAGAAGAAAGCATAAGTCTCAAGTTCAAAAAGAGAATTGAAGTCTGGTGGCTGCTCAGGATTGGTATGTTGTAAAAGTGCCACATTTTGATTAAGAAATGCTCCAGGACTTCCATCTTAACTCTGAGGTTATTCTATAATTTGTCCCTAGGTGATTTAAGAAGAACCCTAGTTCTTCTTAAAGTGTTTACTTCTGGTCTGGCACAACAAATACCTGAAATGAAGGCCAGTAAGTATTTTTTTTAAAAAAAGGAAAAAAAAATGGTAAAATTGGTAAAGAGTTTCAGAAAGCAGGAAGAAAAAATGATCTGTCTGAATTAAAATTAAAGTTTATCTTAGTTATTATATTTCTCATCTAAGAAATATCCTGATGAAATATAATTCAATAAAGCATCAAGAAATTCAAAAAACACAAACACACAACTAGGTTTAATTACAACCACAGGCCTATGAAATAGCATATGTTTCCTGATTGATTTCAGCATAAAAGTCCAAATGCCTTGGTGAAGAAAACTGGTTCTAGATATCAAGTATTTCTAAATATTTGATTCAATTTGTATTCTCCCTGAAAAAGAATGGGGAGGAGCCCATAGGGAAGGCTGAGCGGTAGCCTATCTTTTAATAGATACAGTGAGAAAGTTGGATTTGAATAATACCATATGTAATTGATCATCCTGAGCAAAAATATTTTAGGAAACATTTGCTCATGGGTAATTAGTTTGGGTGCTGAGATCTTGTTATTTACATGCATCTGTCCTAGTTTTATTTCTTCAAAATATTTACATACACACAGGGGAAAATAGTAACAATGAAGAAAATACTATTTAGGGGAAAAAAAATTTTTCAGGTATAAATTATTTTATTACAACTGAGTATTTAAATGGATTGTTATGAACTTCTGACCTATAATCTTTGAAATGGGGTATTATAATGATATAATCTGAAAGCTTCCATCCAACCCTAATTTTTAAATTTAGCTTTAAAAAAAAAATATTGTCCCTAGTAGGATAGGGAAAGAGGAGTAGAAGAGTACCAGGTCCTGACTCCATTCTTCACTAGCTTTATAACACCTGATGCATGCATGGAAATCTTTTAAATGTACACTTTTTGTATTTCCAACAGTTATAAGGAATCAAAATATGAATTCTAGTAACACACCTTTCATAACATCTTATAAAAACCTTGACATTTTTCCTCTTTTGAAAAATTATAATTTATGGATGAACATAAAAATTCAATCAGTTTTAATAGAGGTCAGTGTTCTTCTGAATTATGTCAGAAGTACAAATAGAACATAGGTCAAAATATCAGGAGGAAAATACATGGAAAACAGCACCTTTAATTTTCAGGTCATTAATGTTAGATTTTAATATGTCCTTCAAAGACATCTAGTCAAAAACCCATCTGAGCCTGCCTTATTCTTTCAGTGTTAGATTTTTTTCCCCCAGTGTTAGATTGTATGGGTGCTATCAACAATACATATCTAGCCAGGTACAGTAGTGCATGCCTACAATGCCAGCTACAGGAGAAGCTCAGGCAGGGGAGTTGCAAGTTTGAGGTCAGCCTGGACAACTTCAGAGACCTTGTCTCAAAATAAAACTAATATGGGCTGTGAATATATGTCAGTGATAGAGTACTCCCAGGTTCAATCCCCAGTACCAGAGGGTGGGGGTAAAAATTACTTATATAAATCATGGACAAGTGGAATAAACCTAAAATTTTATTGAATATCAAAAAAATAGTGAATTTTCATTAATGTTCATATTTTTAGTCAGAGAAATTTACATATAGAACAGCGAAAGTATATTTAAATATGATTTGTTAGAATACGTTCTACATCAAATGTTAGAAATATAAATGACATATGTTTAGATAAATCACATATAAATCACATGAGAGAAATGGAAGTTGTTAATGCCATCTATTTAGCAGGCACAAAATGACATGCATGAATATAAAAATCATATGAGGCTAAACTCAGTCTTTTCAGTAAAAAGTAAATGGATTTGATGTTAACAGAAAAACATAGTTTACTATAATTAATTTTTAAAAAAGTTTCCCTGCAGAATATGTTTTCAGATGAACATTTATGTGCTTGTAGGGTGCTGTGATTACACCAACCATGGACCATCCTATGTCCATGCAGCCAACCAACATGATGGGTCCCCTGACACAGCAGATGAACCACCTTTCATTGGGAACAACAGGAACGGTGAGTTGATGTTTGTTTTGTTTTCTTGGATTTCACTAAGATGTGATACTGTTTTCATTGGCGTTGTTAGTGAAACTGGTTCTGTACATTCATCTAACACACCTATCACGTTCCAGTGTGAATAAGCCGCGTTCATGCATGTTCAATTCCAGGGCACAATTAGTCACATTGACAAAGCTAAGGGTTCAACTGTGTTGCATTTAAACTTCAGTTAGAACGCAGTGTGTGAGGTATAATGTCTGTTTTGGGAAAGGAAACCTCTTAAGTGCATCTGCAAATCTAGAACCTGTGATTATGTACTTGAGCTTGGTTTACCATTCCCAGCTGCTTAACAGTTCAGCAAATATATCATTAACAGGTTCTACACAAGTTAAGGAGCCAACTGACTATGATCGTGAAAAAGCTTTTTTTATTTTATCATCAATGCTTAAATTAATGAAAATCTATTGAGAATTTGACATAATTGAATTCTTTTGGAAAGGATGACAAAGATGATATTGAAAAGAAAGAAGGGAATCTAATGTGCTTGCTATTTTCTTATAAGTTGGATATTTTTGACTAGTCCTATTTGTTTTTCCTTGAGGAACAGAATTGTCCTGAGAAAATATCTATTGCAGTTTTGATTTTATATCAACAAAGCATTTGGAATCATGGGCAAAACTTCATGTATTTTTTTAAAGATAATTCCCCATATGTTCAAGAAGGCAGATACATACTAAAATACTGAAATTTTGTTAATTGCCATTATTAAGAAGGGTGAAAACAGCATGTGATATTAGCAGTTAAAGTTTTTTTTTTTTTTCATTTATGTTAGTGCAGATAATCTTATCAGTTTTAAAGATGTAGAAAGAAAATAGATTTTATTTTGACTGAGGCAGCTTAAATATTTTAGAAAGAATAATGGACCAAGAATCAAGAATCCTAGATCTAAATCTTTATTGAGACCTTCTTTTCTTTCTGTCCTCAGGAAAATAGAATCATCTGGTCATAATTTCCTTCTCCACATAGTTGAAACTTTGCACTTGATATATGGGGCCCGTTTAACTCTATGATTTTATATCTTTAAGTCTATATGCATCTTAGTCACCAATTCTGTGGTTCCCCACAGAGGTGCTGGGATCATTTGCAGAGATCTATGTACATACGCACACTAGCTGTGCATTGGGAATGTTACCTTATAGTGGTGGCTTGCTGTCTTATAGAGGTTGTTGACTCATAGGCTTTATAGAATATAAGAAGTTTCTGACATGACCACTGAGGCCTTACTAATATGCCCTAAGTAAGAAAATCCATACACCTTAATGGAAAGAGTCACATTGTTTCAATAAGGACATTTAGTTTTATTAACATGAACAAAGTGCCTCTAAGGCCTCAGTTGTTGAACATATAAAAAGCAATTGATGATAACTTAACTATCTGGATGCTTGGTCAGGATCAAATTTTCTTAGGTTTCAGATCTATATTTTTGGAAGTCATGCCTCAGACTATAATTATTATATTTTTAACTATAAACTATGGTACAGATCATTTTCATCAAGGAGATAGAGTTTGAAGTTAGTATTTTTATTGCTTTCAGTATTGTGTGAAGATTATTATTATTTTTTGAGGTGGTTCCGGGGATTGAACTCAGGGGCACTCAACCACTGAGCCACATCCCCAGCCCTATTTTGTATTTTATTTAGAGACAGGGTTTCACTGAGTTGCTAAGCACCTCACTTTTGCTGAAGCTGGCTTTGAACTCTCAATCCTCATGCCTCAGCCTCCTGAGCCCCTGGGATTACAAGAGTGTGCCACTATGCCTGGCTAAAGATTATTTGTAGTCAATTTGTATATTGCTAATAAAGCAAGTCCCAAGTACAGTATTTTCATTTATTTATTTACTTACTTTTTTTTTCTGGTGCTGGGGATTGAACCCAGGCCATGTACTGCTAGGCAAGTGCTCTACCACTGAGTTACATCCCCAGCCTAGGTGAAGTGTTGGGAGGCCTAAAGTTTATCATATTTCCATTATAGACTGCCTCCATTATCACCTTCCTTTTCCTTCAATGATTATAAATTCTTGATGAGCATAGAAATGCAATTTTACTGTATTGCATGAAAAGCTGAAATCTGGTAAATTAAAAAAAGAAATTACAGTGTAAATCATAGAAACCCCTTAAAAATGTTACCTGTTGGAATCAAAACCAAAACCAGTACTTGCTAAGATTTAAGTGTTTGTACTAGTGAAAATATAAGAGCTGGGTTAAGTGAATATATGACTGAAATCCTTTAGTAAATTAAAAAATAAGCTAAAAGATACAGAACAGACTCAGAATTATAATAATCATTGATTCAACAAGAAACATATGTTTGTGTATTTGAACATTTTCAATAAGCATGCATTTATTTGTATCCACAAGTTTTAAACAGCTGGTAACAGCCAATAATAATAGTAATTCAATAATGATAGACACTGCTCCCTTACTTAGAGAATAGTAGTTTTGAGCATGTGCTTAGCTTTAGCACCAGATTTCCTCTAGCTTTTTTTTTCTTTTCCTATTCATTTCTTCCTTTACATTTGCAACTAAATAATGCTTAGAAACATTATAAGCCTTTGTATAACATGACAGTATGCAAAAGTTTAAATTTTAATGAGGTTTTAAGGGAGGCAGAAAAAGACTATTACTTTGTTGATTCATTCAACAAAACGTCATTGTTTAGTGTTTAGAATGCTGTTATAATTTTTTCTTAAGCTGTGACTATAATCCTTTGATATGCCATCATATATTCATTTTATCTAAATTTTTCATTGGCATTTGGAGTGGCTATTATGTAGTGGAGGTTAGTTTCCCACCTAATTGCTTCTTTCCAACATTTCCACGGATGGGAAAGCAGCCTGGAATCATGGAAAGTCCAATGGGCTTTGGAATCAAACTTGAGTTCAAAGCCTGGCTCTACCCCTTCATTAAGCTGTGCATGTTTAAGCAGGTTACTTATTTATTCTCTTTGAACCTTTGCTTCATCTTTTACAAAATAGAAATAATAATATGTCTATCCCAGTGATGTTGTGAGTATTAAATCATAGTGTACCTAGTCCAGTGTTGGTATGTGCTTATAAAATAAACTGCCCTTTCCCCTCTTCCTCCAGTGGATTTTAAGTAGTGGAGTCCAGTCTAGGTCTCCAGAAGGGTTGGAGCACACTATTTAATCCACAGTACAACTCCCTCCTCTGTTTCATTTCAAGTGATATAACTGACTTCTTTAAAGTCTCCACCCCTTTAGCTGTTCACATAGTGTTCCAGGGTTGCAAACTCAAATTTCTCTGAAGCCTGGCCGAGTCATGTTGATGAATGATGTTGACTGAGTTCAAGCATATACCTTGGAAATATATCATATAACTTTCTTTATATTTTCCAGTATTATAAACATAGTCACATCATACAGATATACATGATATTGAGATTTTATTTTAGATATTTTCAGTGGAATAAGAATAATATCTCTTCCTAACTGTTGGGCAAATGATAGGGAGAGATGGTCCATTGGGCAACCTGAAATATGGACACCTTTTCAAGGAACCACAGCCACTGCTGAACTGCAGACAGCTATTCCCAAACGGATATAAAGATCTAGAGTAGTCTCACCGTCCAATTTCTTAAGATAAACTGAATATTTGGATTTTGATGTGAATCTTACTTATATTCTAATACTAGATCCAATTTATCCCCAGAGCTCCCAGTTTGTAACCATTGCCCAAGATGGTCCTAGTTTTCCTCCAAATTCTCAGAACATTCCTTCTCTTTTCTTTCATAGGTTGCTAAATCAGGATTTCGTTATTAACTTACTGTTCAGGCCACGTGATTTTCTTAAGCAATCCCATTCCCTTTCATGATTTTGAACCCTGCCCTCTGTGCTGAAGACTGTTAAGTCTGAGTCTTCAATGCTAACCCCATTTTAGAATGTTGAAATCATTTATTCAACCACTTCCTATCTCCATGTAACTTTCCCTCCAACTTCTCAGAGTCAGCATGGCCCAAACTAATCTCAAGAGCTTTCCCTGAGCTTCCTTCCAACTGAACCCTCTTCATCTTGTTTGTTCCTGCCCCAGTTTTCTTTCAAGTTTAAGCTATGACCAAACTAATGCCAGCAGCCAAACCACGCATCTAGGATTGAATCTGGACCCTGCCCTTCTCCCTTACCACCATATACAATTATTTTTTAAGACCCACTGATTGTGTCTCATTGACACATTTCCAGAGGCTCTGCTCTGAGCCTCATTTGGTTTTGTGTGATAATCTGTGTCCTAACTACACTTTCTGCTTTCAGTCTCAATGTTCTGGAATCCATTCTCCACCATTTTGCTGCAGCCAGTTAATCTACAACTATATAACAGTGTCTCTATCCTGGGTCTCCTCAGAGTCTTTCAGAGATCTGAGCTCACAAAAATTCTAAAAAAGAAAAAAAACAAGGTGTGAGAAGTGAGGAATGAGATTGAGATAGAGACCTCAGCTCCAGGAACAGATGGATCCCAAGGGCACAGAGCAGTGAGATCCAGTGAATCATTTAGAATAGGGCAGTGCTCAGGAGTGATGGGGGGAGGTGGAGCTAGATTAGAATTTGTTTCTTTTCTTTTCTTTTTTTTTTTTTTTTGAAGGGTGTTGATGACCACATGTTTTTGTCCCACTTTTCTTTTTAAGATTCCTGGCTAAAATAATTGCATTGTGCTAAAACCTCTTTTTCATCTTCATAAAAGAGATATATTTCATCCCACGTAACCCCACATTTTGAAATGGGTGCCATGTAGTTAAATATGCCTTTCTCTCTAATTTGCCACTTCAAATATTTATTGTTCAATTCTCTACCCATTTTTAAACTGGACACAATCTACATTTAGGAGAAATGAATCACATGCAAACAGTGTTACTCTTTTAGTCAGTCCATGGCTCTGCTGACCTTGAAGAATTTTTCTAGCTTTTCTGCTTTTTTTTTTTTTTTGGTCACAGGATTTCTTTGATGGAACCAAAGCCCCATTATCCATATTTTCTTATCACTTTATTGTAAGCTTTAGCAGAAGCCACTGGGGACTTGACTGTATTATGAGAATCTCTGAATTGCATGACAATCTTGTTTTACAAGTTTCTTATCTCTTTTTTATTTGTTCAGTTGCTGGTCACCAGTGGCTTACAATGTCACCAGAATCTGTTTAAAGAAATAAAAAGATTTTGTTCTGAACGTTCCTTATCTGCCGTTTAGTTTCTGTTTCTCCGAGCCTCCTGATGGATTTGGATTTCCATGGTGTGACCATAGCTACTCACAAAAATTATCTTGTAATTGGTCCTCCACTGATTTCCCATGGTTCTCTAGTGTCTTTCACTCATATCACTCCTTCACTGCTCCAAAACTCCTGTGGTACCAGGTGAAAATTATTCATTGCACTTTAAGAGTGTCTTTTATCCATTATTAGGTATGAATATAAGTATCACAGTGGAGAATTATAAGAAGCGACATATAAGGTATCATATTGACTCCAAAATCAGTAAATAGTATCATAAAATGATAATGAGTACAATTCCTTAAATGCATTTTCAGGGAAAAAATCAACTAATTACAAACACACACAAGAAAGAAAATAGAGATAGAGAGAAATAGCTTTTAAAATTTATTTAGTCTTATTGTAAAATAAATGAACTTTGAAGGGTAGTTGTACAACCTATGAACAAGTAGACATTAAGTGAAAGTCTAATATCAAGAAATATTTATTTGCTACTATTAAACTTTTTGCTATTTATAAAAATAAATTAACAATGCAATAGAAAAGTCTTAACACATAAAATGCCAGAGCATGAACAGATAGTTGAAAGAAGGAAATAGAATGCTAAAAGATGTGGAAAAAATTATAATCAAAGAAACAAAAGATAAGGCCAATTCACACATGCATGTTGGCCTAACACACGCACATACATATCTCATCAAAGAAAATCATCAAAATCATGCACATTATACTGAAGGTATAGGAAACATTTTCATATATAGTTTGTATCATGTAGTAACCTAAATTTGCACAAGAATCAGTAGATAGCGAGGTGCACAGTCAAAACACCTCAGAACATATATCCTGGCTGAACAAATGGTTATAGTTTTGAGAAGCCAGTCTATAGAAATATTCTAAAGTAACAGAGTAGGTTTTATGCCTCACAAATGTTTGATGTAGCTTTTTAAAATAATATCTAGTAAATAACCATTAAATTATAAACCATCCATAAACTCAAAAGGTAATGCCTACATTATAAAAGTTTAAAATAATTAGAAAAAGAGTTAAGTATACAATTAAAGCAAATTGTTGAATATAAATTTGTACTTGTGAAATACAAGATCAACTGTGAAAAATATTTATAAAATAATGCTATAGAGAAATACAAAGCAGGTGTGGCTATTTTAAGAGATAGGATTTGGGTTAATATCTATTTTAATCATTATACTTTCCTGTATTCTCTAGTAATCAACAATGAACATTATTTGCTTCTATTTACTTTTAAATGTTATAAATATATTTTTGGAAAATATCAATGGCATAATCCAAAAATTAACTTTTTGTTTGTTTTTGTTTTGGAGTGGTAATGATTTTGTGATTGTGATTTTTTTCTTAAAGGTAACTGGTGATTACTACCACTGTTAACAAAGCATTTGGAGAACACTTTAAAAATTATTCTACTTCTTCTAGATTTGGAGATTATAATTAATTCACTAATTTCCTTACCTGTTTTGAAAAACAAAATAACTCCTAACAGGTTTATTTGCATTTGAATCTTTTGATCAGTGTTCGCAGCAGTTGGTCAAAGTGCTTTGTTATGTTCAAGTTCTAATCTGTCTTCACACATGCCATTGACTCCAGAGAGTGATTAATATTATCCTTTTGTGAAAGGAGATGAAAGTGAGAATTTTGTGATAGTCCCAAAGTTATCAAATTTCCAGAAGAATGAAGTTCAGACCTTTAACTTTTAAAATGGAATACAGATCATATGAATAAGAGTTCATACAAGAGCATCTATTAATCATGTTTTGGCAGTTTATTTGAATGCATATAATACCAGGTCCCTTTTATAATGTATCCCCCCAAGGAGAGTTGGGGAAGGATTAAAATTTTCCTTTTTTAGAAGGGGGGCTAAGGCCACAGACTATGTCCCACTTTCCTTTTTAAGATCCCTGGCTAAAGGAATTGTATTGAACCAAAGTCTCTTTTTCATCTTCAAAAAGCAGATATATTTGGTTCCCCATGACCCTACATTTTGCGATGACTGCCATATAATTTAATGAAGCTTTCTCTCAAATCCCACCCCCCCCAACCCCTGCCTCCAACGTTAGGACACTTTGGAAAAAAAGAAAGCTACCTGTTTAATAGGTTCTGGTCTTTGTATCTCTGTTCCCACAATTATAACACAAAAAGCTGCTCCACCCAGGTCAGAAAGCACTGTCTGCTCTGCCTCTGATCAGAACTGCAGCTGAATAACTACTCACAAAACTTGGGCTTCAAAATGCATAAGCCTCCACAGAGTCTGAGAATGTGCAAATGTTTCATTTTTCTCTTTTAAATTTTAGTTGTTCCTGTGGTTCTCCAGGACTTTGCTTCATATCATGTTTGGGTGCCCTCCAAATGTAAACTTTTTGTGTCATCCAGGGAGGGTACAAATTTCATATTGATTTTTTAAGGGAGGGATCCAACAGACTGAGGGAGATGACAATGTCCGTGTTGTCCCAGCGGGTCATGCTGGTTTCAAGAACATGTGCAGTGTGAGGGTAATGGGAACCATGGTGTCACCTGTGAACTAGGGTCAGAATGCCTTGAAGGCAAGGGGTGAGGTGACCTTGTGACACACAATGGGCTGTTCCAAGTTTTAAAGCTAAAATTCTATTTTATTTTCTTTTGTACTTCATTGCATTCTTTCTCATGCTCTTTTCATTCAAAGATTCAATCCCAAGACAGGATTATGATACTCCACCAGCTGTTGTGTCAGGTAGGAAAATTCTCATTCCTTTAAAGACTTGATTGGAGGGGAGAGATGGAGGTTGCCTGCTTTTCTCCACAACTCTTGAAAGCAGTGATTCTCAATAGGGGTGGCCACAGGAAATTTGAATGTCAGTTTGGCAGGGGGTATATGTAGTTCGGAAAAGTGTATTTAATATGATAATCCAGCTTTATGCCTGGAAAATGAATATATCGCCTTTTAAATAGAAAGGACACATTGTCTCCAAGGATACACAGAAGATAGAGTCTGTGTTCTATGTATCAGTCAGTCTCAGCATTGGACAAGGTCACCAGAATTTTTGAAAAGGGGGAGAAGGATTTTATATTAAGCCAAAAAAATATTAAAAAGGGCACAGATAAATTAACATAGATTGAGAAGCACTGCTTTAGAGAACAGAATTCTTCTGAAATCAGAAAATCATCCCATTTTGCTTGCTTGGCATCCAGCACAGGGTACTCAATATAACTATTTGTTGAATGAATCAAAAATTTAAATTTATTCCAAAAATTATATTTTGGGTATCATAAGTGAAACCACCAATATTCCATTTATACAATAAAATGGCAGAGGTTCCTTGAAGAACAAGACATCAGGGTCTTGAGGATTTTAATTAGCAATATTTAAGTTGTTTCATAAAATTTAGTGATGCAGCCAGAGTATATATGTATGAAGAAGTTAGTTCTTATTTTGAACTGCACAGATCCTGTGCTTTTGTATTAAGTTTGAGTTTTGGTTTCTTGCAAAGTGGAAAGTGGATACGATGGTTCATTTTTGTTGATTTTTTTTTTTAATTTGATGAAATACTGGCAGTTTGAAGAGCTTTGTACTCTATGATCCCTTGACATGTTAGATGGCAAGCACATAAAATTAAAACTAAGAAGGACATTGGAAAGAGCAGGAAACAATGTCCAGAAACAGACTTAAAGAGCCCACAGAGTAGTTGAGTCTGGCATTGGATGGTGGCTTTGAAACAGGGAACATCATGGTTCTGGCCACCCCTCTTGCTTGACCCAGCATCTGAAGGGTAATCTTTTTCTCATGTCTATGTATTGTTTAGTTATGCTCGTGGCCAAATACTCATCTTGGAATTTTAAGTAAGAATGTCCCCATTGAAGAACCACGTGAAGTTATTTGGGTTCTCTTCAAGGTCTATATAAATTGCTATTATTTAAAATATCACATCCTTCCTCAACGTGTATTACCTGCCATATCTTTAATGTGCCTTTTTTTCATTTATGTGACATCATGAATAGACTGTTTCATGTGTCCAGCTTCTACTTGAACATATGGCGTCTTTGTTTAACAACAGGCTTCTATCTGCTCTTGATAATTTATCAATGCAAATAATAATAAAAGACAAAAGACACAATCTGGAGCTCTCCTTCACATAGGTGTCCTGATTTCACTTTCCAGAACACAATAGGAAAAGCAATCAAAATGTCAGAAATATTTACTAGATACCCATCAAGGGTCAGGCTCTACCCAAATCAATTGAAGCAGAAACCCTGGCTGAAAATCTATGCTCTGAAGTTTCCATCTGGTTCCAAAAACAAAAGTCACTGAAAGTTCTTGAGCAGATAAATGATTGGATAAAAGTAATAGTTTAAGAAACTTGATCTAGCAGTTTTGTGTGTGCTCTAGGAAGAAGAAATAGGATTGCACAGAAGAGCTAGAAAACCAAATATATTTACAAAAAAAAAAAATGTTTCTAAATTTCAAGAAGTACAGTACACAAAAAGGGACCAGTAGATTTTCCATATGAAAAATAGCATTTTGGAAGATTTTATAGTTATTTCTCCCTTGTAAGATTTGATTGCTGGTTTGATGAAAACATACAGACCTTTTTAGTCTATCTTTAAGTAGAAATAAACCTGCCATTCTAATGGGAGAACTTCAGTAACTCTTGAAAAATGGTATATTCTTTACCCAACCACTGACCATATTAGAAAATTGACACAGGCCATGGCATTATAGTATCTCCTTCCCAATTATCTCAACTTGCCAATATTGAACAACTCAAATTGTTAATTCTTTGCCAGTGTAGGAGCCAATCAAATTATTCTAATTTATTGGAGTCAAGATATCTGATTGGATAATCTACAAAGACATAAGCCAACCTAATTTCATTTACTCAATATTTCAACCACTTAATGAACAGTTTATAGGAGCTAGATACTGCACTCAAGTATTGGTGATACTAATAAGAATAGAAAAAGATTCTTGTAAAACATATCAGGATCTAACTTTATGTTACTATTATTTGTGGTGTTAAATGTATAGAGGGAGGAAGAAGAAAAATCTAGAAAGAAGGTTTGAAACTCTCAGGGAAAAAGAAAGTTCTGGGCTGGATTTGGAAGAATGAATAGGAATTCATCACCTGGATAAGAGTGGGAAGGTGTAATGGGCAAACAGGATATGGAAATTCTTATAAATAGGAAAGATTATGAGGTATATGATAATTCATTTGATATTGTTGGTGCAAAATATCACTCTGACATATACAAAAATTACATCAATATAAATATGATTTGGTGTAAGAACCCTTTCTTCTTTGAGTCATGTATCATCTTATTCCTTTACTTATTTATATGGCATTCATTGGAAGAATATTGTGTGGCAATCATTATGCTAGGCACTAGGAATGCAACTTCCTTCTAAAAGCTTAGAAAGTTAGGTAGAAGCAGATTGCTAGTGGCATAAATGCTTCAATATTAACAAAACTTACGATGTTGATGAACACTTAAATAAGATGCCTCAGTCCAGACCTACTTGTGTCATTTACTAGTTGTGGAAATTTGAGAAAACTTAACCTTTCTGTCACTTAGATTACTTATCTGGGGAAGTAACAAAAACTTCATATAGTTATTTTAAACATGGAGTAAAATATACAACCTGCTTAAAATGCATCCTGTATAAAAATGCTACAACTATACTATCATTATTGGCATGAGATATTATGGTGGTACAAAGAAAGAACAAATAACATATGAGGAGATGTCAGAGAAAGGGTCCCAATGGATGAATTCTCTAAATACAAACTTAAGAACACTTAGGAATTAGCTAAATAAAGAGTGTATCTGGGGAGAGTTTCAGATCAAAGGAGGCAGTATGTTCAAAGAGTCATGAGGATAGGGTGTATTGAGTTCAGAGAACTACACATGGTCAAAAAGGGCAAGGATAGGTTCAGAGATATGGGGAGTAGAGTAATGAGCCTGAGAAGTAAATAAGCAGAAACAATATCACAAGATAGGTAGCGTGGATTGTTTCCCAATGGCAACAGGAAGATATTAAAAAGTTGTGAATTGGATGTGATCTTTCTGACTATAAGGTCAAGAATATATTGGAGAAGAGCAAAAATAGAAGAGAAAGAACTGAACTGAAGAATCTATGGAAGGATCATGTTGGCATGTACTTAAGTTGTGTAAAGGACAATAGAAAGATTGGTAAATGTGTGACAGGTTAAGTAGGTAGAATAATAGGACTTGGTAACCAAATGAATATCAGGAGAGAAAGAGAAAGATGATTTAAATTTGGCTTATAATTTCCTCAGTGCCCTGAAGTATCTTTTCCCAGGATTTAAACCACAGAAAGGAGGATCAGGTTTGTGAGGAAAAGAGATAACTTCATTGCTGAACATGCTGAGTCTGAGATGCCTATGATGCAGCCAGGTAGAGATGCTCAATAGATGTTGAATGTATGTGCTTGAACTCAGAGGCCATCTCTTGTGCAGAGGTAGATTTGGGAATTACCACCATGGAATTAAGCCATGTTTGCCCACAGAATGTGCTTGAAGTGAAGTAACCAGAACTTAAAAATAAAGAATGGACAGAAAATGGAGCCCAAAGGAGAAGTTGGATAAGACAACTATACACATAGAAGGGAAACAAGAATATGAAGTTTCAAAAATCAAAATCATGATAGTAATTCAAAAGAGTACTATCCAGTGACATAAGTCCTGAAATTTTGTTATGTACACACAAAAAAAAATTTGTTATAGTGGCAAAATTCAATTTTGTCATTGAATTTTGTTATATGGAGATCAATAGTGAATTTGATGGTACAGTTAAGGGTAAAAAGCAACAACATTCAATGTTATGTAAGGAATGGTTGTAACTAGTACAGGAAACAACAAATTGGTTTTGAGGAGAAGTAGAGAAATGATAAAAAAAATAGAGAAAAAAACTAATTGATTTATTGATTTTGGTAAAAAAATTTCCCAAATGATACATTTTGTTTGTTTTTATACGAAGTATTAAGTGCCATCATCTTCTGAGAGTGGCTGGGAGATGGCATGGTAAGAATTTAGGATGAACAAAGATTTGGAAAACTGAGGAGTCAGAGGGTCAACAAGCAATAGAAAGTTGAAGGGACCTGGGTTTATTTGAAGCTATAAACCATAGATTATTTTCATACTTATTGTGATTTAAACTGGAATGTCCCTCTCCCCACAAAAAACCTCTTGTGTTATGCAGTGCAGCAATATTCAGAAGTGGAAAGATTAGATTTTGTGAACTCTGATCTCATTAGTGGATTAATCCACTTGATGGATTACTAACTTGAATAGACTATTCAATGGTAACTATAGACAGGTGATGTATAGCTGAAGGAAGTAGATTGTTAGAGGTATGGCCTTAAGGACTATATCTATCCCTGTTTCCTTCTTTACTCTCTTTCTGCCTCCTAGATGTCATGAATTGAACAGTATTCTTCTGCAATGCCTTTCTGCCACAATGTTTCTGCCTTAGAGTTGACCATGAAACCAAATAGTTTCACAACCAAAATAACTCTTTGCTCCTCTAAGTCATTCTTGTCAGGTATTTTGGTCACAGCAATGAAAAGCTGACCAAGACAAAACTAATCTTTGAAGATGTTTGATTGTCTTGTTGTGGTGATCATTAGCCAAGAAGAGAGCCTAGTTAACCCATGGTTGAAAATATACTGAGTGGAGTGGGAGAAGGACAATGTGCATTGATGATATTGGCAAGAAA